CCCGGGCTGTGCACCGCTGCCACATGGCCAGGTGCTGCTGGAGGCTCCGGTCTGCCATTTCTTGTGCTCTGCTCATCATCGCCTCCTGGGCCTTGATGAAGTGCTCCTGCTGGGCCTGCAGCTGCTTGCGCTGTTCGCTTTGCAGCTGCATCAGCATCTGGTCGTGCTGCTGCTGCTGCGCTGCTGCCTTTGCCGCGGCCATGTTGGCCTGGCTGATTGCCTTCTCCGCGACTCGGAGGTGGTACCGGCGCTGCCGGGCAGGGCCTGCGGGCCGGTACTCATGGCGCCGGTCGCTTGCTGCTGCAGCTTTGAAAGGGGGCGTGAACGGCTGGTCGGAGCGCCGCGACATGGATGGGGCTGTTGGTGGGGCTGCCGCTTCTGGGGGCGGGCGGTGGTCAGGTGGCACTGGCGGAGGGGGTGTTGGCGCTGTCATCGTGGGTGGGCCCATCATCATCATGTTCGGGGGAGCTGCCATGTTTGGCACGGACCACTGCGGTGTGGTGATGAACGGCTGCGTGGGGGATGTTGCGCCTGGCCCCATCATCATCATGGGGTTCATCATGGGCGGTGGCGCCATGGGCATCGGCATCGCAGGCTGTGGGCAGGGTGCAAGAAAGCCGGGGCAGCCGGCGGCAACATACTGACTCATGAAGTCGGCTGGCCCCATGACTGGCAGCTGCGGTGGGAAGGGCTCCGGGGCACCCGGAAAGGCTGCAGCCTTTCCGGGCGGTAGGGCACCCGTGCCAGGCGCTGGGTGACCTGCGCCTGGCTCCGTTGGGTGTGGGGCAGCATGGTGGCCACTTGTGGCATCTGGCTGCGGCGGGTGTGGGGCAGCATGATGACCGCCACTTGTGGCAGGCACTGCCGTGGCGGTGGCTGGCGCTGGGCCTGGGTTGCGACCTGCTGGCTGCGGTGCGTGTGGCGGCTGTTGTGTGGGAGGCTTTGGATGTGCTGCCAGATCTACAGAGTGTGGAGGGCGTTGCTTGGGAGCTGGCTTGTTGGTGGCCTTTGGTGGTGGCGGGTGTGCAGGTGACTTTGGCCGTGCTGAGTGCCCTTTGCCTCCTTTCTCTCCTTTGTCTCCTTTGTCTCCTTTGCCTCCTTTGTCTCCTTTGTCTCCTTTGTCTCCTTTGTCTCCTTTGTCTCCTTTGCCTCCTTTGTCTCCTTTGTCTGCTTTGTCTCCTTTGTCTCCTTTGTCTCCTTTGCCTCCTTTCTCTCCTGCTTTGCCTCCTTTCTCTCCTGCTTTGCATCCTTTCTCTCCTGCTTTGCCTCCTTTCTCTCCTGCTTTGCCTCCTTTGCCTCCTTTGCCTCCTTTGCCTCCTTTGCCTCCTTTGCCCTTGCTTTCATCCTCCGACTCCGACTCAGAGTCCGAAATCTCATGGCTGTTTTTGCCTTTGCCTTTTCCTCCTTGTTTCCCTCCCATGGCTGAGAAACTCCGTGTGCTCACTGAATGGCAGGCGTGCTTTTGAATGTCTGTGTTGGTTGTACACTGTACACTTGCACCGCATCTGACAGAGTGTTTGTTGCAGGGCCCATTGACTGCCTTTCTTGAAGTCTGTCACCTACAGTTTGTGAACCAATTTCGCAACATTGAACATGTCATTGAAAAGCTATGATGTCCAAAAAATGCTTCATGTGTGAGCCACCTGTTGCAGAGACATTTGTGACAACTTGCTGCAAACAGCTGGCTGCAAACTCCAACCTGATGCATGACCGTGCCATCCGAGGCTCTGACTCCTCTGGTGTTGGTTGTGGAGGACCAGGACAGGGGCAGCCTTGGCTTGCGCTTCAAGCTTGGTGGGGAGGGCTAGCTTTTCCAATGTGGCTTCTGGCTTTGTCAAGCATTTCATGGGCTGTGGCCTTCGTATTGTGACAGTGACAGCTATGAACATGTGCTGTGTGACACACTGTGAGAGGGGGTCAGGTTGAAGCAGCTTTTCCCCAAATCAGATTGTGGGTAGCATCTTGCAAACAAGTTTTGATTGTTGAGCATCAGTTGATGGCACTGGGTCACTTTCTAAGCATGACAGTTGAACAGTAGAGCACTTCACGCAGTGCTGATTAGCCCTGCCACTTTGCAGTGGGCAGCACTTCATGCAGTGCTGATGCCAAGGACCAAACTGACATCATGAAGCAGAGGCTCTCCAGGAGGAATCTTCAAGAGCAAGCAGATCAGGTTGCACTGAAGGAAGCACTTTCAAATCTTATACTTGTTGTGCGGCTAAGTTTTAACTAGTGTCCTTGTCCATGCCTAGAGTGCACTGGCCCAGCTGGTAAACCCTTGCTGGACACACCCGCTGCTCACCACAGAAAGTTTCAAACAGTGCTGCTGTAGGCTTCAAGGCCTCAAATTCAATCATCATGAAAACAAAATGGATTGGACATGAAACTGAAGGGTTCTCAAAAAATGGCGCTGTGCTGAACAAACCTAGGATCACAGCATGTCATGTTCAACTCACTGCTTCTCACAGCAGCAGAAAGCGCTTCGTGCAGTGCTTGTGGAGCTAACCACTTTGCAGTGGACAGCACTTCACACAGTGCTGATGCTATGATGCAGCGCTGATGCTGGGGACCAAACGGGTTTTGGCGAAGGCACCTGCAAATGTGTATTTTTCGAGTAATGTCAGGCCTTTCTGGAAGAGTCGCGTGGGAGAGTGCCTGCTAAAGCATAGCTCGGCCAAGCTGACAGAACCTTGCTGGTAAGAAATGCTGCCACACCCACTGCTCATCACAGAAAGTTCATGTCATGTTGAACTCGCTGCTTCTCACAGCAGTAAGCACTTCACACAGTGCTTGTTGAACTACAGCGCTGATGCTATGATGCAGCGCTGATGCTGAGGACCAAACTCATCGCCCCGAAAAGAGGGGAAGTGCCTGCAAATGCATTTGTTCGAGAAATGTCAGGCTCAGTTCCGAATTATGAGCTCTTGCCCCTCTGGAAGAGCTCATCTCGGACAATTTGAAACAAGTTGTAGGTCACAGTTTTCAAAACAAAATGGATTGGATGAGAGTTGAAACTGAAGGGTTCTCAAAAATGCCGCTGTGCTGAACAAACCTGGGCCACAACATGTCATGTTCAACTCACTGCTTCTCACAGCAGCAGAAAGCTCTTTGTGCAGTGCTTGTGGAGCTAACCACTTTGCAGTGGACAGCGCTTCACACAGTGCTGATGCTATGATGCAGCGCTGATGCTGAGGACCAAACTCCTTGCCCCGGAACGAAGTGGTAGTTCCGGTTGCGCTGGGGGAAGCACCTTCAAATTTGATTTTGAAGAATGCCAGGCTCAGGCTGAGTTTCTAATTTCGCGCCTTGCCCTTCTGGAAGAGGCATGTGGGAGAGCACCTTGAGAGCATAGTTCAGCAAGCTGGTAAGACATGCTGACACGCCCACTGTTCATCACAGAAAGTTTGAAACAAGTTGTGGCCTGGTCCTTGGCATCAGCACTGTGCGAAGCGCTGTCCACTGCAAAGTGGCTATCTTTTGAAGCACTGTATGAAGTGCTTTCCCTATCACATTGACACTCTGAGTCAGAGCCATTTTTGGTCGTGCTGATTGAATTTTGAGGCCCAAACTGATCATCTGAGTCATGATGATGAAGTAGCCCAGGAAGCTGCAGAGCTGATAGCCCGCTCACACTGGGGGCAAATTCAAACTTGTTGTTGGGAACTTCATTTGCAAATGGGCCCCTTATTCTTCTGCAAGAGGCATGGCGGGCAGCCTGTCACGATGATGATGGAGTAGCCCAGGAGACTGCAAAGCTGATAGTCCAGGTCGCACTAGGAACAACTTCAAACCTGTTTCTGGGAAACTCAGCTTGAAGCTTGTCCCTTGCTTTCCTGAAGAAGCATGTGCGCGGGCAGCCTGCTAAACTCTAAGCCTAGAGTGTACAGTGGGTACACTGCAGTTAGAGCCTCGCTGACAGGCCCGCTGCTCAACACAGAAAGATTGCAACAAGTTGTGGGTTTCAAGATTTATCAAAATTCAACAATCATGAAACCCAAACGGATTTGAGTTTCAAGATATGTCAAAATTCAAACATCATGAAAACCAAACTGGTTGAGTGAGTTTCAAGATATCAAAAAAAATCAAGCATCATGAAAGCCAAATGGGTTTGAGTTTCAGTATATCTCAAGATTCAATCATCATGACAACCACATGGATTGAGTTTCAAGATACCTCAGGATTCAAGCATCATGAAAACCAAATGGATTGAGTTTCAAGATGTCTCAAAATCCCAACATCATGAAAGCCAAATGGATTGTTAAGATGCCCCGAAATTCAAACATCATGAAAATGAAATGGGTTTGAATTTCAAGATATCGCAAAAATCAAGCATCCATGAAAACCAAATGGATTGAATTTCTGTCTATCTCAAAATTCATTCATCTTGGAAAACAGATGGATTGAACATGAGCCTGAAGGCGTCCCAAAGGGTGGAAGTGCTAAACAACCTAAAGCCACAACATGACATGTTGAACATGCCGCTTCTTACAGCGGAAAAGCACTTCATGCAGTGCTTGTGAGATAACCACTTTGCAGTGGACAGCACTTCATACAGTGCTGATGTCAAGGGCCAAACTCATCTTCTGAGTCACGATGAAGTTGAGGTTGCTCATGAAGAAGTTGCAAAGCAGTCAGCAGGTCACATTGAGGGAAACACCTTTAAACCTGTAAACCTGTTGGGTGCACTGCATTTAATCTGACGCCCTACCCCCCCCACAAGAAATTCCAGGAATTTCAGCATGGCCAGGTCCAACTAAGTCTTAACCTGAAGAGCTTTTAGAGCACTTTTATAATTGCAGAAAGACCTTTTACAACAACAAAGGTTTATAAGTTGCCTTGGCGCGTCTGTGCCCGAGGAAAAGGCCCAGCGTCAAAAATGTCCTCCGGAAGCGAGTCGAAGAAAGGCTCGCCAGGTTGCGAGCTGGAAAACCGACGTGGAAAACTTAGGAATGTTGCTTCAGCGTCTTTGTCCCCAACCCCGAAAAAACCGCTCGGCGCGCCTCCAGGGCAGCGATGAGCTCCACGGGGGCCTTGCGCCACTCGCGGAGGCAGTAGGCGCGCACCGAGACGGAGTGCTCCAAGGCGTCCAGGAACTGCCGGTGGCTCTCCGGCATGTTCTGCCGGCCTAAGCGAAGCTCATCGAAGCCCCAGTCTGTCGGATTTCACAAGGGTCCTGGTTAAAGAGCTCCCCCTGCAAGGCTCCGAGTTCATTGGTGGGGGGGTAACGGACCAAAGAAAGGAAGAAAAAAGTATAAGGCCCGAAATGTCTCAGAACCTAAAATCAAAGAAGGGCCGGCCCATCGAATCCAATTGGTAAAAGAGCGCAAACCGGAAAAATGGATTAAGCACCTTCAAGTTGATCGCACTTCCCTCCAATTCTCACCGCACACAAATGTTGGAAATGGTGATGTGCTTCAGCCAGACAAGCTAAGATCTTTCCGGTCGGATGCTTCAAAACAAATGGGGAACCGAACAAATTACCAGTTTCGGCTGCTTTCCCTTCAGAGACCCTTCTGCCGAGAGGAGGCCTCTGTGTGTCCAACGGGCCTCTGTTTTTTGAACGTGCCAAAAGGGGAAACTGAAAGGAACACCACCATGTTGAGCCATTTGGGACTCCCCATTTTGACACAGACCCAAGCCTTTTTAGTTGAATTCCCTTCTACAACTGTCAAGAATCTGCTCCGCGCCTAAGACCTGCCAGTTCTCCTGCAGCGGCCCATAGATACCGTCCATCTTCCTTCACCCACGGCGAAGAGCGAGGAGTGACTTGTTGAAAGGTTGTTAGCGAGTTTGTGTGGAAGCACTCTGGTTGAATCAGGGTCCCGACCCATTTATCGGATTCTAATGAATGGGCTTGGTCGCTTGCACCAAAGAACAATCATGTGTGTATGTGTCGTGCATTTGGCACCCACTTTGAACTGATTTGCTAGAACCTGAGGGTCACCCAAAGATGCTCCAAACGGTCAACGAGTTAGTGAAAGCATTCTCAAGGACAATGGTCATCCACACAACGCCCCTTTGCGATGTCCAAGTGGACGAAGTGCAGATTGGAATTGAACAGGCCAGAGAACCACACGCGAATTCCGAAACACAAAGTCAGAACCCTCAAGGAAGGTTCCCTTTGGGTTCCCCTTGCACCCCTTTGGCCCTGGGTTGTTCCCCCATGGCATGGGGGCAGATGGGACTCAATTCGAGAGGCCACCAAAAGAAACAAAAAGTCCTTCACCAAAACCTGGGCTTGCCTCGTTTTCTTGAAGCCCTAACAGTATTTTCCCTTTAGCTTCCTTGAACACCAAAGTCCCCAAAAAAGCACAATTCTCAGTGGTTGGTTTCCCTTGAAAACCACCAAAGGGGTTCCCCCCCCCAAAAAAAAAAAAAAAACGCGGACCCATCCCCCCCAACCGACATGGCACTAACGTCCTTCCATGTTCAAGTAATTCGCCATAACCGGGGGGGGCGGCCATGGGAAGGGTCTGGCCTTAATGGTCCCTTGTCCGTTGCAATGGCTTATGGCTCTGAATCAGATATGCTTGCTTTGTTTATTTCCACTACAGTTGCCTCCCCAACAGGAAGCGCAGAAATCGGCTGGCAAGCGGATTTTTCTTTGTTTTTCAGACCCAAGCTTCCCTTCGACCGACCAAAACCGCGAGCCGCCCTCTGCTCAAAACCCGAGCGGCCGCAGGCCCAGCAGCGCGTGCATGGCCGGCAGCAGGGGCGAGGACCCCGTGTACACCCAGGCCGCCACCTCCTCGTCCGACCAGCCTCGCGCTCAAAGCGAGTCCAGGTGGGGTGCTCAGAAAAGGGTGCTTTTTCCCGCAGACAAAACCCGTTGGATCCCGTATTCACCAGTTTTGTGAGGGTGATTCTCAGGATTTTGGCGGGCTAAATCGTGATTCTCTGATCATAAGCTCCAGTCTCATCACTTAGGGCCTTGTAGACCCCCTTTTAATGTCAGATTTTGATTGAGACTCAGACCTGTTGACCTCCATGACGCTGGTTACGGGCAAATCTACGGGAAATTCACCAAGCCCCCAAATTCAAATGGCGCGGCTCAATGATGACAGCCCTGTAACACCATCCCAATCC